TGTCTACAGATATACTTATGCATGCACACATGTGCATGTACTCACATACGCTTTCCTATACACATATATAGGAGGAGCTTTGTTGGCACAGTGGTTAAAATGCTCAGCTGCTAACCAAAAGGTGAGCAGTTTGAATCCACCAGCCATTCCTTAGGAGAAAGATGTGGCAGTCTGCTTCTAAAAAGATTTACAGCTTGCAAAACCCCTATAGGGCAGTCCTATAGGGTTGCTATGAGTTAGAATCAACTCAGTGGTGAAGTTTTTGATATAAACATATATGCACACATTACCTGTGTAACCACACTCACTTTTAGGTTGTTGTTAACTGTTGTTGCAAAACTGTGTATGTTATAGCATTTATCAAAACCGTCCCTTATTCTTGTATACATCTTAGCATCTTCATTTGCTTGATCAAGTTGTGCAGAATTTACCCATTTTGGGTATTGCCTTTCCCATTCACCAAAAATATCAAGTGTCTGCTGTCTAAAAAGTGATTCCCCCTCCAATCACTGGTAACCATCAAAGAATGTTGCTTTCTTATAAAATAATAATTGTCCCTTTATAATTGACTTACTTTATTCCGCATAATATCCTTCGGATTCATCCATGTTTTGCCTCGTGGACTCCTCATTATTCTTTATATGTATATATATGGTATTTCACTGCATGTATGTACAATTTGTTCATCCACTCATACACTGATGAACACTTAACGTTGTTTCTGTTTGTTATTGTGAATGATGTTGCAATGAACATAGGTATGCATATGTCTATTCATATCACTGCTCTTGCATCTCTAGATACAAGAGATATTCCAGCCATGGGATTGCTGGATGATAAGGCATTTCTATTTCTAACTTTTTGAGGAAGTGCCATACCATTTCTCACAGTGGTTGTACCCTTTCACAATCCCACCAGCAGTGTGTAAGAGTGCCAATCTCCCTACAACCTCACCATTTTTTTTTTTAATCACTGCCATTTTTGCTGGAATGAAATGGTATCTCATTGTAGTTAATGGCTAATGATCGTGAGCATCTTTTCATGTATTTGTTGGCTGCCTAAATGTCCTCTTTGGCAAAGTGTCTGTTTATGTTCTTTGCCCATTTTTTCATTGGATTGTTTATCTTTTTGTTGTTGAGTTGTTGAAGTTTTCTATATATTTTAGAGATTAGACCTTTATCAGATATGACATTACCAAAGACATTTTTCTCAGTTTGTGAGTTCTCTTTTCACTTCCTTGGTAAAATCTTTTGATGAGCACACATGTTTAATTTTTAGGAGGTCTCAGTCATCTATGTCATTTTCTGGTATTTGTGCATTTTCAGTTATGTTTGATAGTGTACTTATGTCCTGAATTAAGGGCCCTTAAGTTTGGCCCTGAAGGAGCTCTGGTGGTGTAGTGCCTAAGACATTTGGCTGCTAATCAGAGCAGTTCAAACCCACCAGTCGCTCCATGGAAGGAAGACTGGGCAATCTACTTCCGTAAAGATTTACTGCCTCAGAAACACAAAGGGGGTCGCTATGAGTTGGAATCGACTCGATGGCAGTGAGCTTTTTTTTTTTTTCAGTTTTAAGTTTGGCCCTATTTTTTCTTTGATGACCTTTATGGTTTTAGATTTTACGTTCAGGTCTTTGATCCCAGTTGACTTCATTTTTATATGTGGTGTGAGATATGGGTCCTGTTTTCATTTTTCTCCAAATGGACATCCAGTTTTGCTAGCACTATTTATTAAAGAGACTATCTCTTTCCCATATAATGAGTTTTGGCCCTTTGCCAAAGATTAGCTGTCCACAGGTGGATGGATCTACTTCTGGGTTCTCAATTCTGTTCCAATGGTCTATGTGACTATCATTGTACCAATACCAGGCTGTTTTGACTACTGTGACTGTATAGTAGGTTTCAGGATTGGCCAACTGGTGGTTTGTACTGGCCTTTTGCTTTCCTCCTTTTGTGCCACCTGCTTGTGTGTCTTGAGTACCTGTGCCTGGGAGCGCTACATGAGCTTCTTTGGGACCACTGCTGTGTGGTTTACAGAAGAGCAATGGCAAGGGGGAGGTGGAAGGAAGTAATTGATTTTTTATCATGTTTTGACAGAGAGACAGATAGTATTCTCATTGTAGTTTTGATTTGTATCTCTCTAAATGGGCTATCTACTTGCATAGTGATACTGCTGATACTGCCTCGGAAACCCAAGGAGGGGTCGCTACAGGTTGGGTCTGACTCCACAGCATACATATAACAACAACAATGGCTAATGAGGAACTCTGGTAGCGCAGTGGTTAGAGCACAAGGCTGCAAAGCAAGAAGTCAGCAGTTTGAACCCACCGGTGGCTCTGTGGGAGAAAGATGAGGTAGTCTGCTTCCATAAAAATTGACAGCCTTAGAAACCCTATGGGGTTAGTTCTGCTCTATCCTATAGGGTGGTATCAGTTGGAACTGACATGATGGCAGTGGGGATAATGGCTAATGATTGTGACCATCTTTTGATGTGTTTATTAGCCAACTGAATGTCCTCTTGGTGAAGTGTCTGTTCTTGTCCTTTGCACATTTTTTATTGGATTGTTTATCTTTTTGTTGTTCAGTTACTGAAGTTTTCTATATATTTTAGGGATTAGACCCTTATGAGATATGTCGTTGCTAAAAATTTTCCCCAGTCTGTAGGCTCTCTTTTTAATCTTTTGGCAAAGTCTTGATGAGCATACATATTTAATTTTTAGGTGATCCCAGTTATCTAATTTATCTTCTCTTGTTTGTGCATTTTTAGTTGTGTTTGGTGGACTATTTATTCCAAAAATTAAAGCCCCTGGTTTTGTCCCAGGATCCCTGGTGACACAGTGGTTAAGCACTTGGCTGCTAACCAAAAGGTCAGCAGTTTGAATCCACCAGATGCTCTGTAGGAGAAAGATGTAGCAGTCTGCTTCCTTTAAGATTACAGTGTTGGAAACCCTATGGGGCAATGTGACTCTGTCCTAGAGTGTTGTGATGAGTTGGAATCGACTTGAGGAAGGTGGGGCTTTTGGTTTTTAGTTTTGTCCCTATGTTATATTTCAGGAAAGAAGCAGTCAGTTTTGGCACATTTCACACAAGCCATAGTTGAAAACACACAACTGGTTACCCTGATCATGCTAGTTTGGTCATGGAATTCTCTAGAAATCAAACTACCACTTGAAATTATGGGGTCCACTTCCACAAATCTTCTTTCTAGTCCAAATACACAGGAACCCCCTCATTGTCCAGAACACTGTGTTTGGACAATTTCCCACATCTTAAAAACAATAACCAATCTAGATATGCCAGAACGACTTCTCCAGAATGCATCAACTGCTCCCTGGTTTAGAAGTGGCAAAGTACAGGCAGCTCTGTAGGTCGTAGGGAAGCCAGCTTTGCAGGGTAGAATGCTCTCAGACATAAGAGCCAGGAGCCAAGGGTGAGGGGGCAGAGTGAAAAGGCCCAAGAATGCTGAATAATGGCAGTCAGAGAACAGAAGTCCAGCAGTGCACAAGACAAGGTTGCATGGCATTCACTATTCTCAGAGTAAAAGATCTAAGAAGGATACATCATTCTCTGCCTACATGGCTAGTTAAGGAGATTGTGTTTTTTTTTTTTTTTTAATGCTTTGGTGAATGAACAGGTACATGATACTTTCCTGCCCAAGGGACTCCTCCCACGCTGCTCACTGGAGATCGTGGAGGTATACCAGCCCCATCAGGGAGAATGAGTGGATAATCATCGGACACTCAAAGCCACTGTACTTTTTACCACGCTCCTCATTATTCAGGATCCGAACGTTCACGTCAGCTCCAGAACTGGTTGCCACTGCTTGCATCCCAAGTTGATATTGCTCTACTTATGTGTCTCATTTCAAGGCCATCCAAAACAACTCAGTGCTGAGCAAATCTCTGCTCATGAAGCCTGATGACATTAACCCTCCCTAACTTTCAACTCTGGTTGCACAGCGCCTAAGGCATTTGACTGCTAACCAGAAGGCTGGCAGTTCAAACCCACCAGCTGCTCCGTGGAAGGAAGACAGGGCAATCTACTTCTGTAAAGATTTACCACC